AAATCCCTGTTTCCTTTCCATGAAAAGGTGCGGAGCAGTGTGGAGCGGTACAGGGCAGTGGGATGCGGGGCGGGACGAAGCGGTGAAGGGCAGTAGGATGTGGTGCGGGATGGTGCGGGGCAGAGTGGTGCGGGATGGAGCGGTGAGGGGCAGTGGGATGCAATGCGGGATGGTGCGGGGCAGAGTGGTGCGGGATGGAGCGGTGAGGGGCAGTGGGATGCGGTGCGGGATGGTGCGGGGCAGAGTGGTGCGGGATGGAGCGGTGAGGGGCAGTGGGATGTGGTGCGGGATGGTGCGGGGCAGAGTGGTGCGGGATGGAGCGGTGAGGGGCAGTGGGATGTGGTGCGGGATGGTGCGGGGCAGAGTGGTGCGGGATGGAGCGGTGAGGGGCAGTGGGATGTGGTGCGGGATGGTGCGGGGCAGAGTGGTGCGGGATGGAGCGGTGAGGGGCAGTGGGATGTGGTGCGGGATGGTGCGGGGCAGAGTGGTGCGGGATGGAGCGGTGAGGGGCAGTGGGATGTGGTGCGGGATGGTGCGGGGCAGAGTGGTGCGGGATGGAGCGGTGAGGGGCAGTGGGATGTGGTGCGGGATGGTGCGGGGCAGAGTGGTGCGGGATGGAGCGGTGAGGGGCAGTGGGATGTGGTGCGGGATGGTGCGGGGCAGAGTGGTGCGGGATGGAGCGGTGAGGGGCAGTGGGATGTGGTGCGGGATGGTGCGGGGCAGAGTGGTGCGGGATGGAGCGGTGAGGGGCAGTGGGATGTGGTGCGGGATGGTGCGGGGCAGAGTGGTGCGGGATGGAGCGGTGAGGGGCAGTGGGATGTGGTGCGGGATGGTGCGGGGCAGAGTGGTGCGGGATGGAGCGGTGAGGGGCAGTGGGATGTGGTGCGGGATGGTGCGGGGCAGAGTCCGGCGGGACTCCCCCCCCTCCGCGCTGGCACCCCCTGCCCCATTGCAACCCCTGCCCTATGCATTGCACCCCCCTACCCGATTGCAGCCCCTCCCCATGGCACCCCCCTTGTCCCAGCTCGTTCCCTGGATCCCATCACATGCCACTTTCATCCTCTTGCCCCCAGCCCTTGCATCATTGTGCCCCCCTGCCCCACCTTGCGTGCCCCTCCCTCTGCCCCCTCACCCCAGCGTGGGGGTCGTCACCACGGCACATCCCCACAGCCCCCCGCCCCCCTCACTCACAGCAGGTGGCAGCCTGGGCACCCCCCTGCAGTCACCCCTTCCCTGCCCACAGGGTGCCTGCCGGCGCTGAAGACGCGGGATGAGGGCACCATCTCCAAACCACAGCAGATCATAACTCACCTCAGGAAGCAGGTAGGGGGAGGCAGGGGTCCTCCTCCATCTGGGCAGGGGGGATGGAGGGCACTGCATTCCCCTGGGAAGGGTGGGCTGGGCTTTGCCTGCAAGGCAAAGGGTTTGCCGTGTCCCCGCTGGCTGCAGCCATGGCCTTGGCTCTGCAGAAGTACAACGCTGACTACGACCTCTCAGCCACGCAAGGGGCCGACTCGCTGGCCTTTGTGTCCCTGCTGGAGGAGAAACTGCTGCCTGTGTTGGTGAGTGGAAATGTCCCAGGGGGATCATGGGAGAGGTCATCTCACCGCGGATGGGATCTGCTCCCTGGAGTGATGCTGGTGGGCTCAGATGTGTGCCCACCAGGCAGGAGAATGCTGCAAGCAGCAAAATCCCAGTGTTTGGGGCACTGGTAGCAGGGATCAGGGGGCTGGAGGTCTTGCATGACAGTAGGGGGTTGTGCAGCCTGGGTTGGGGTCTGGCCTTGATCATGGTGCTCCCTCAGCCCCTCATAGTCACTGGGGCAGCTGGTCCCATGCTGGGTGTGGGGTCTCCAGCACTGTCAGAGTCTGCGCTGGCCCCAGCCCCACCATGGCCCAGGCACGCGTTGTCCTCTGCTGCAGATCCACACCTTTTGGGTGGACACAAAGAACTACGTGGAGCACACACGGAAATGGTACGCAGAAACCATTCCCTTCCCCCTGAACTTCTTCCTGCCCAACTGCATGCACAAGCAGCACCTGGAACGGCTGCAGCTCATGTGGGGAGACAGCTACATGGAGGATGAGGAGAAGCTGGAGAAGGAGGTGAGAGGAGGCAATCTGGGCACAGTGTGTCCTTTAGAGGGTGCCCAGTGGGATCCATGCAAGGCCAAAATCTTCACAGCGGTCCAGGATTCACTCTGGCTTAACACCCCCTTCCTGCTCCCCATAGCACTGAGGTCTGCCATGTGGGCCGGGTGGGTGACAGCCCTCTGTCCTCCTTCTCCAGCTCTACCGGGATGCTCGGGAATGCCTGACACTCCTGTCCCAGCGCCTTGGCTCCCAGAAGTTTTTCTTCGGTGACTCGTAGGTGGCCATAGGGGGCAGGAGGTTCAGGGCCCGAGAGCCCCTTGCACCCAGGCAGGACCGAGACCCTACGTCTTGCTGCCCAGCCATGGGATGGGATCATCCTGCTCTCCTTGCCCCCACTTCAGGGGCTGGAAGCAGACAGCCCTCCCACGGATCCACTGTGGGCAAGGGGCTGGGGGTGGCTGATGTGTCTGATTGGCTTTGGGTGGGGACGGAGGGAGGGATGGTAGCACAGTGGCAGGTCTCTGTGCCCCAGGCCAGCCTCCCTTGATGCCTTCGTCTTCAGCCGCCTGGCGCCGCTCCTGAAGGCAAAGCTGCCCAACGGGAAACTGCAGCAGCACCTGAAATCCCTGCAGAACCTGTGCAACTACTGCACCTCCATCCTCAGCCTCTACTTCCCCTGGGATGGAGGTGAGATGTGTCCCCTCCCGCCTGGCCAGGGGGGCTCAGGATGACCCATCCCCTCCTCACACCCCAACTCTGCCCCCATAGGTGAGCCCCTGGCCAGTGTCCCGCGGGCTGCAGGTGCCGACGGAGGTGAGACAGAGGAGGACCCCCACAAATGGCGCAACCAGCTGCTGTCGGTGCTGGTGGGGCTGGCGGCCATGCTGGGCTATGCCTTCCTGAGTGGCATCGTCTCCATCCAGCGCAGCAGCGCAGGGCCAGTTGGCCGCGAGCCCATAGCCCTAGAGGAGGAGGAAGAGGAGGAGGAGGAGTGAGGAAGACCTACCTGGTTGTTTCTCGTGCAGTCCCTGGAACTGACTTTTTACACTGGGAGTAGTGGGCAGGCTCCCACTGGGAGCCTGGCAGTGTTAGTCCCTATGGGTGCTCTACTCTGTGTCCTGCTGGGACTGTCCATGGCCCTGTCCATGAGGAGCGCACCTGCCATGACAATAAACCCCCCTCTCTCTACCTGCACCCCCTTGTCCTCCCAGCAAGCTTAGGGCCCTTCCCAGTGTCCCAAGTTTCACAGGCTGGAGTGGGCACCAATGCACTGCCCCGATGCCTGCCCCAGTACCACAACGTCCTTTCTGCAGCTCTGCCCTTGTCCCTAGCCTTGGGGCTCTTTGAGGATGGGAAGACCTGTTGTCTTTAGGTTCCTACAACTTCTGTGGGTGTCTCAGCAGCATCCTCCAGCCTATCTCTGGCAGTTGTGGGGCTGAGACCTCTGCCACAGCATCCCTGCCCTCTGGCTACTGGGCAGAGCACTGGGTCCCATGGGGCTGGTCCTCCTGGCCAAGCTGCTTCTAGCTCAGCTTCCCCAAGAGCCAGGACACAGCTGGGACATGGTCCCAACCCAGCTGCCTGCTGCAGCAGCCTCCAGGGAGGCCCAGCTCCTTGGCAGGATGTGACCGGGGCCGGAGGACACAAGGTCCCTGCTGCCAGAAAGAGGCTGGGGCCCGGTTCCTGGCACTGGCTGCTGCTGCAGCCGGGATCCCTCCAGCACTGACAGCCCAGTGCATTTCTTATCCCTGCCAACAGTGGGGAGTTCCTCACCACTGGCACTGCCAAAAGCACATCCTGTGGTCAGCGTGGCTCCAGGGGCTGCAGAGGGGGGCTGGGAGTGGCTGTCCTGGCATTGGGAGCCCCAGCAGTGCCACAGTGCTCCCTTGGGACACCCCATGTGGGGCTGGGCCCCGGGACTGACCACGCTGCTGTGGTTTCCTCTGGCCGGGGCTGGTTTAGACGCGCGCAAATGGAAAAGTGGCACCTGGCCAGGCCGGCTGGTGTGCTGGGGCACACAGCCCTGCCTGTTCAACTGCCATGGCCACC